TTAGGATTGGGTTAGTGGTAATAAATTTGGACAGCACGAAGTTATAAATCCAAATTTCAATGCCATCGTGATATACAAGAAAAAATATGAACCTTAAGTAATTCATTGCCTTGTGTGATAAATTGAATAATTGTGTATATATATGTATCCCATATTTATCATTCCTCATTATTGTGATTTGCTTGAACTGAAGATTGGTTTTGATTGATTTTTCTAGTTGCTTTAAAGCATATGATTAAAGAGAAGCGAGCTTTTCGTTGTAGTACATACATTGTAATGTATATATGATTGATATTTAGTATTATAATTTGTAATATAATTTACTTGTTCAGTCAATTATGAGAGACTTGGGATATGTTGTTATTCTCAAGTCTTGCTTATTTTGTATTGAGAAATACAGAGGAGAGAAATCGGAGCCGTGTCAATGAAAAATACAATTTTTAAGTTCATTATTGGGTGTTATTAATTTCTTGCTACACTATGACACTGAGACTTATGTTGTGGAATTGTGTGTGTCCAAAGGATAGGCCTTGTGTCGATAAATGATGTATTGGCTCCCTTATTGGACGAATTCATGTCAAGGTGTTGTCTATAAATTTTGTTTTGAAATCATGGGCGTATAATAATACTTTTATTTTTTATTTTTTACTCAAGAGTCGTTTTTAAAACAAAATATTCGTTATAAATTTAAGTTACAGTTATGCTCAAGTAAGAGAAAGTTATAAATTTTCAGTGTGCATATCAAAATGAGATAGAAAATTATGCTTACTCTACCTACTAATTTCAAATATCATTAGATCATAATTTGAATTAATCTTTACCCTTCCTCTCTTCTTTTGAGAACTAACCTATACCCTTTCTCTCTCATCTTAAAATTTTGATTTAATGATATTAGAAAAAAAAAATAGATATGAAAAAAAGTAAGTATAATATCATATCGCTGTCAGAATAATAAGATTTTGTTAGTGGGAAATGGGCTGATTATATGATCCAGATTTTAGAAAAGTATGATAAGCCCAACACTATTAATGATCCATTTATTGTGGGATTAGGTTGTGTTAGTGACAATGGACAGCAATGTTGTAGGCCCATACTAATAGTTGGACTGTTAGGTTTTAGCATAACAGTAACTCCTTATATGGGGAACAGATATAAATGCCATATGCCTTACCTTGCCCGGAAATATTTAGTACTACAAATTAGGCTCGCCAAAAAATGAGCTAATTCATAGAGTTGACTTGTAATCTGACTAAAATGAGCCGGGTTGAGTTAAAGAAAATGAGTTAGTAACTCGAGTCAACCCGACTCGGTTCAGTTCGAAAACAATCGAGTCATCCCACGAGTCAAATGAATTGGCTCGCGGGTTACGATTTTTTTTTAATATAAAAGTATAAAAATTAATGAAGGTAAAATGGAAAGCTAAAACTTAAAATTTCATTTCCAAAGACCCAAACGAAAATACCCGGTAGCTGTCAATAAGTTCAAAACCGTGCATTAAGGACTTTTTTTATCGTATGTGTGACAGTGTGAATGTGGTGCCAATTGCCAATAAGTCCAAGTTCAAATGCAAAAGGAATTTCCTATGGTTTATCTGTATAATGTCTTTATGTTGAATGAATTAATAATTTAAAGAAAAAATTTAGAAGTTACAGCATCAATGAAATTTTATTTTATTTTTTCATTTTTCAAGTCAATCCACGAGCCAACCCTAATCCGACTCTGGTCGGGTTGAGTTGAGTTTTCTGACTCGTTTTCTAACCCGGCTCATTTTTTTCGAATTGAACGCGGGTTGGGTCGGGTTGAGCCGGGTTGACCCGTTTTGTCAACCCTACTACAAATATATTGTTTACTCGTTATATCATTTATCAAATATGAAAAAAGAAACATATTTAATTATTTATACTACTTTTTTTATAATTATTTTATTTCATATCTTCTCTATTTTTTTTTGTCTTTTTAATAAGGAAGTACATACTCCCGCGTTATTGAAAATACACTCTACCTTGCTTCATTCATAGCTTCCCAATATTATTGTAAAATGGAATAAAGAGCTTAGCCCAAAGGTATTCACTTGTGACTTGAACATTTGATTGCTGATATTTCAATTTTGTAGTTCATATGTATTTGATCTTTTGGGCTATTTTAACCTTTTATATCTGATGTTGTTTTATTCCAGATTTTATATAACATTTTTGTGGTAAATTCAAGGCATGGTGTTCGTTGTTTGGGTATATCCTCTCCGTTAATTAACTTTTTTATACATTCTTCTTTAGTAATTGTTGATGTCTGATGTGTGTTCCCCAACAAAATGTTGGGAGCTGTTATCAGTTGTTGTATGTCATTGCAACGAAGTTTATAATTCCTGTGTTGGCCATTTAAATAACTTGGATTTCAGTTAATTACTATTATTTGTGTTTTATTCCCTTTGGCACTCTGGAACCATAATTATCCATAAATTAAACAGAACAAAGAAGTGATGCGATTTTTATTTTAAACAGTAATGGAGCCTTCACTCCTACTTGAAACACAGTTATAACATATTTGAGAGAGATTTAAATATCTTCATTCCTAATTCGTCCCGCACTCCGAATTAGTCTTATAGCCATCTCAAAAAATCAAAACTTGTAGGAATAACAGAGGAAGCTAACTCAACTCTCAAAGATAATTAAGGTTACATTAACTCAAAAAAAAAATAGAGCCTCCACTCCTACTTGAAATATAATCATGTGACGTGACGTTTCTGCATTTTGTGATTAATTCACGCATGCAACTACTGGTGCTTTGATAGAGTTACTAGTACTACCTTCAACCATTACCATCTTGATATAGTCGCGGGCTCAAATGAAATAGGAATCAAGCTTGTTTTATAAAATTCGTGCTAAAATATGTTCACATTGATAACCATTTGCACAGAAGCACCACAGAAGATCTATTCGAGAATTACTTTTATAAAAAAACATGTCACAAAAACAAAACCCCATGTTTGGTAGAAAGACCCTAACGCTGAAATTTTGCTGCTGAAGATAACCCCAGATGCCGAGGGTTTCTTAAATTAGGCTGTTGAGCATCTAATATCTAACACTTATTTTTTTTCTTTTATACGACTCTAATTACCTCTTTGAGGCGAATAGATTTTCCCAGAGTAGGTGTACACCAAGGGTCGGCTCTAAGTCCTTATCTCTTTGCCTTAGTTATGGATGAACTAACAAAAGATATTCAAGAGGAAGTGTCATGGTGTATGTTTTTTGCAGACGATATTGTGCTTATTGATGAGAACAAGGAGGGTGTTAATAGAAAACTTGAATTGTGGATAAGCACATTGGAATCCAAAGGATTCACATTAAGTCGAAGTATGACTGAGTATCTGAAGTGTGAGTTTTCTCTGGTACGAGATGGGGACCAAGAGTCCTTGCATTTAAGTGGTCTAGAGGTACCCAAAAAAGATGCTTTTAAAAACTTGGCTCCATTTTACAAAAAGGTGGAGAGATTGATGAGGATGTAAATCACAGAATCAGAGCAGGGTGGATGAAATGGCACAGTGCATCTGAGTTTTTGTGTGACCGCAATGCTATAAAACGACAGTAAGACCGGCAATGCTATATGGCGCGGAATGCTGGCCAGCACATAGGCAACATGAGCTTAAGATGGGAATAGCAGAAATGAGGATGTTAAGGTGGATGTATGGTTACACAAGGATGGATAAGATAAGAAATGAAGATATTCGACGAAAGGTCGGAGTAGTACCAGTAGCCGAGAAGATGAGAGAACATAGATTGAGGTGGTTTGGGCACGTGATGAGAAGGCCCCTGGATGCTACTGTAAGAACAGAAGTTTGTTATCAAGAGCTTAACACAAAAAGAGGCAGAGGTAGACCGAAACTTACTTGGGGGAAGGTGGTAAAACAAGATTTAATGGAGTGGGATATAGATTGGCGGACAGTATGTCTTAGAACGGAATGGAGAAAAACTATAAGTATGCTGGATGGTTAGACCCGTTGTTATTCCTAAGTTCCAGATGGTCATTTTTTAGTCATTTTCCCCTTCGTTTCCCTCACTTCTTCTTATCCCTTTCTTTTTTACTTTTATTTATTTATATATAAATATATATATATATATATATTATTTCATTTTATTGTATTTTATTTTATTTTTTTATTTTATTTTATTTTATTTTTTCAACCGTTTTGTATCTTTCATGTGAGTTCATCTACCACCGACCCCAATTAATTTGGGATAAAAGTAATATTGATGTTGATGTTGATCTCCACAAGCTTCGATTCTTTTATAAGAGTGCAGAACGGGTCAGAGATAAATTTTATGCCCCACTCAAAAAGTAATATGGATAACGATCAAACTGAGATCCTTCCACCACCTACGCAGCTCCTATGTACCAACTAGACTACTACAATTTGATATATCTAACACTTATTTAAAATCATCATTTATCCATCTTAACTAATTTTTTTATTTTATTTTATTTTATTTTTTTCTTTTGGGTTGAATAACTGGCATATTACGGGGTTCAGGTTGAACCATTGACCATATTCTCAAGTGCTATTTACTTTCCCAAACAACAGAAAACAGGGACTATGTTGGGGTCCTATACAATCCTTATACAGCCGAAAAATAAATGAAACCAAGGACGACATGCACAACTTATTGCACGGAAATAGCCCGGGATGTAAAATTGATTTCGGCTCCATTAAGGTACAAACAGAAATTTGAGCCACAATAGATAAGTCAGAAAAGTAAAACACTATATCTCCTTAATGATGAAGCTTTGTTCTAAGCTCTAACCATGTCGGGGGACTGGAGCATACTTTATAATATAAGGAGTTGACTAAAGAAAGCGAAGTAAAAAGTTTTTTTCAAACTACTAAGTTAAATGTTAGACGTAAACTTAAAGTGGCAAGAATAAAATATCATTTTCGGCATAATGTAGTGGATTATCGACAATTACGTAAACCCAGATGGAAATGATAGGCACAAAAGAAAGATATAAAGATAAGGATTTGCATAGCTTCCGAGATATGAAGGAACAGCTAATAATATATAGGACGAGAAAAGATAAAAGGACAAAACAAGAGACAACGAGTTGTTGGCTCATCCTTTCCTAATATCAGAGTAGGCTACCGTAGGTATAAGCCTGCATCTATATTTATAAATTTACTCACTATGAAGATGATAAAATACAGTAGTTCCACTTGATATGATAAAGTGGACATTTATTAACACTAGGAACTTAGCTACGATTCAAATTCTAGACAAGGTCAAGTCCATTGCGTCTGCAAGGAAGTCTGCACCCAACAAAATACACAAGCTGTAAGTAACACAAACTAGTACATGCTATTGACAAAGAGTGGAAAGAAAAATGCTAACAACACACTTTTTGACAGTGTTTTGTTTTTTAGTAAATTGAGACACTAACTTTAACCATCTATCTATTATTGGTTAATCTCATGTGGAGCTACTCTCTAATAATGAGATCAATATGAGATTTTACCAATAATAAAGAGCATTGGAAAGATAATATCTATGAGTATGTTGCTAGTATTTCTTAAGAGAGAAATTGAGGCAAGGCTAACCTGCATCTTCTTTGCTGAAACATAGGGGAGGTGTAATTCTGAAGACATTTCCATAGTAACCACCCTTACCAACTAGTACTCCTAATTCTGTAGTAACGGGAGAAGGGCCGGTTAGTACTTAGCAAAAAGAAAAATATGGCTAGAACCAGAATGGCATATCGACAGGGATATGGACTTCACCTTTCATTTGGTCCATTACATGCAGTGTTTCAGCTTTTGCTGGTGTTTTAAGTTCACGATCAGTGACAAGTTCAACTCCAAGCATCAGGCCTCTTCCTCTCACATCACCAATTACTACAGAAGGAAAGAAACCAAGTTTGTTTATGAAATTGGTTGAAGGAAAAAACAAATCGTGGCCGTTTTGTGACACTGATGCTTCTTAGTTAATGTATAAGGAATTCCTGTATGCATGTACAACCATAATGGAAAAGGAACAAGAAGGGGCAAAAGATTACATTCATATTTGTCCTTGAGCGCAGTGAGCCTCTCTTTCAAATAGGAACCAACCACAAACGCATTTTCTTGAAGCTTCTCTTTCTCTATTACTTTTAAGACAGCCAACCCTGCTGCAGTACAAACAGGGTTCCCACCAAAGGTGTTAAAGTAACTTCGGCGGGTCAAGACCTCTGCAATCTCTGGTGTAGTTACAACAGCACCAAGGGGAATGCCATTTCCAATGCCCTGCCAAAAGTAGAATATATGAACGAGACAATCATAACGAAGCAATGATAATTATAAAGTTCATGCTGATGATATATTCTTGTGTGTATTTTATATGGTTGTAGAAAGTTGTTGGAAATATAATACAAAATATAAAATCAATCAACCTCCTTCACCTAATAGCTTATGTATTTGGAGAGTTGGTTGCTTGATATAGAGATAGTATCAGAGTTTCTATGACCAAATGGTCTCATTCTTCTAATAATATTATGAAATTTCAGGTAGGTAGGTTTGTGTATTACTTACCTTTTAAGTCCAATGAACTCTTGTACCAGGGTGTGTCAAAAAAATAATGTTAAATAGAAAACCATTCATTTACTTTCACCTAACAGCTTTTGGAAGAGTTGACAAAGGTAATTAACTTAACCAAGCTCATAAAATCCCCAACATCAATAGAACTATAGAAGAGTTACCTTAGCCATTGTCACTATGTCAGGAACAACACCATGGGCCTCAAATCCCCAGAAATGGCTCCCAGTGCGAGCAAAACCAGCCTGAACCTCATCGGCAATACAAAGCCCTCCTGCTTTTTTAATGCTATTGTACACAGCAGGCAAGTAACCAGGAGCCAATTCAACAATTCCCCCAACTCCCTATCATAAACAAGAGCAGCATCAAGGTGTGTAACCAATTCACTTTAGATTAATAACTAGCGTTTATTTTTATTTAATATTACATGATTCTAAATAATTAATATATATCTAATATTATTAGTAATTCATACTAAATAATAAGATTGATATTAAACTTGAATCATTTATAATATAGTCAAATAAAGGTTGTGTTTATTTTATTGTATTTCAAAAAGAAAGTTGGATCTGTATATATGCTTTAGACTTAGATACCTGTATGGCTTCAGATAAGAAGGCTGCTACGTTTCCAGAAGTTCCGAAATTAATGATATCTTGGACATCTCGTGCATACTTCTCCCCATCTGAACCAAAAATACCTCTATATGGGTCTGGATTTACTGCATGATGAACACCACTCTGTTGGCCACACCGATTAAAAAAACATATTAGGAAAACGCTATTATACATTTTAAATTCACACTTATATTCAAAACGGTCGAGGATTACATGACAGAAAAGACAAACCAAAGCTAAAATGAAATAAAAATTATTGGCCCAATTGAGTTGATTGTGCATTTGTGCTTGTATTATAAATCAGTAATTTTAGATCCTACATATTATATTGTTTATTTTAAATGACAACCTTAAATTAATTTTTTGTAAACGCAACACATTATCATTGACAAAATAATTAGAATTAACGATCACTATAAGAAAAACATTTAATGTGATTAGTAAATTAATACAAGAGGATCCACTCCGGGCCAAATCAGGCACGTGTACTTGTGATATTATTTGCTCAAGAGATGGTCTTGAAGCACAAGGCACTTGGCATTGATATAGTGATATGGAGCGTCTTAGTTTCCATACTCAGCTCCATTGTTTGGTTAATATAAAACAACCACCTCCCTGTGACCCGTCCTTTGAAGTTAAACTTCATCGACGTTGAAAGTGGAATAATAAAACTATTGTTGGGTTCTAATTAATATATTAAGAGATATAATAAAATTATTTATTCGGCTTCACCCAAGAATTATTAAATTTAAGCCATTAAATAAAGACAAATGAATGGTTTTATCATATCATATAATATGCGTTAGCTAACACGATGTGACAATCCCGTCAACTTGGTCATCATCAATTAAGTGAACTTATGGCCCATATTGATTTTATTTATTTGTATCAACGAATAAAAAAATATAGTAAAATATCAGAATAATGTTACAAGATATATGACACATCATGCTGTTAAGATAAAGTTTGTGAGTCCTATAGTTAAAAAATAAAAGAAATAATGATGACTCACCACTTTATTGAGTGTGCAGGACCGATTTCTTGTGTTATGCGACATGACACTCGTCAAGCCCAAAACTATATATATGATTCATGGGTTTTATAAGAGTTATGTTGTAGGAAAAGTGTTCGTTTTGCGTGCCGTAATTTTCTTTTTTTTCTTTTTTCTTCAAAAAGTGTAGATCCCACAAAATGTTGTGTGTGTAGGAAAATTTATTGTGTCATGTTAAATGACAAATGCAAACCCCATGATTCACTCATTGTAAACGGGAAATGTTTTCTTATATTGTTTTCTTAATATTACTTGTATTATTTTTTTTATTTTGTGATTAATTTCTGTAAAGGATTTTATATAAATAGTATTAGATATTAGGTATAAGAGTAGTTTAGTATTTTAATGATATTCTAGATCTCTCTCTTTTCTGTTATGCTCTTCTATATAAGAGCTCACTCATTATACAAATTAATTACCACAAATCAATGAAATCAATATTTTTCCTTTTCTCTTTTTTACCTTCTAATATGGTGTCAGAGCATTTTTATCCTCCATGAATGGAGGTTCCGCTGCAATCACTATTTTTTTCCCTCTTTGTTTCCTTTCTTCCGGATCTGGTCCTGATCATTGAGTTTTTTTTTTTATCATGAGAGCTACTCTTTCTCCTTCATTTTTTTTTTATCTCCATCTTATTATTTTTTTTAATTTTGGTTTCGGGTCGTCATTTTCTTTTCCTATCTGATTCAATTTTTTTTTGGTTCGTTCCTTTTCTTTCCACCTTCCCGGCGTCCTCTCCTCTAGATTTCAGAGATCTGGTTCATTTCTCCCCCTTCTCAGATCTGGTTTGTTTGTTTTTCTGACATCTCTTTCTTCTGGCTATGGTTAGGCCGTGCTTTCTTTTCCGACTGGGTCTTCTCCTGTCTCGATCAGCTTTTCCGGCAACTTTTGGCCATGCATGTTTTCCAAATCTCTCTATTAGCGTTTCCAGATTTGTGGCGTTCCATCCACCCAGATCTGTGTTCTTCTCTTTGTCATTTGTTGTGGGTCATCTTCTCCGGCAACCCTCTATGCCGTGTATGGCGGCACGTTCATCCTCTGCCCAGATCTCTCCTTTTCTTCCAGATTTGTCATCAACGCTTTTCTTTCCGGTCGCGTCTCCTTCTCTGGTCGTGTCTTCTTCTCTAATCGTGCCATCGAACTACTGTTCGAGTTTGTTGGACCAAATACTGTTCTTCTCTTTTTTTTCTTTTTTTTTTCATGCCTTTTTTTCTTTCTCTTGTTAGTCGTCTTCCACCTTTGTCAATCTGGGTTGCTGATATATTTTTAGATCTGTCTACTTGTCTCTTTCACTTCTCATTTTGCAGGTTTGTGAAGATTTATGGAGCTCATGGACAGTGGCGGAGCCAGCATGGCAAGTCAGCTAGTGCCAAAAAATTCAGCTAGTGACCAAATAGCTACGGTTCTTTGGCTACGACCAAACGTGGCTAATTTTCGAAAAAAAAATTGAAATATAATTTGCCACGTTCAAGTGTAGCTAAATGAACGTGGCTAATTAAGCCAGTGCCAAGGCAACTGTAGGTTACAACGTGGCTCCGCCACTGCTCATGGATTTTATTGCAATATATAATTGTAGTTTTTGATGGATTTTTCATTATGTAATTTTTTATTTTTCTGTACTGTGTTGGCTTGTATTTGGTTTTGCCATTGTTTTGGCTTTATTTTGGCTTCTTATTCAGGGGGAGCATTGATCATGTTGCTGAATTTCATTTCAGAAGAGTTGATTTTGCCGATGTCCATCCCGACAGTTCATATTAAGTTGCTGATGTCTATCACAGCCCTTCCTTCCTTTGCTGATGTCCATCCCAGCACATTATAGCTGATGTCCATTCCAACACTGTTTCTTTACTGGCTGATGCTCATGTTATTTGGTTATATGTTTTTTGATTTTTCTTGTTCAAGATGGAAGTTCTCTTTGTTCACTCTCCATCTTGAGGGAGAGTATTAGATATTAGATATAAGGGTAGTTTAGTATTTTAATGATATTCTAGATCTCTCTCTTTTCTGTTATGCTCTTCTATATAAGAGCTCACTCATTGTACAAATTAATTATCACAAATCAATGAAATCAATATTTTTCTTTTTCTCTTTTTTACCTTCTAATAAATAGTAGACAAATTCCTATATAAAAATTAAAAATGAAATAACAAAATTTCATACCTGTACAACATTAAATTTCCAGATGCTTTGAGCTGTGGCACCCATCGTTCCAGCTGCATTCCCATGGTAAGCATTCCTCAGAGATATTATGTCATGGCACCCGGTGTACAACCTTGCTATCATTATAGCCAATTCGTTTGCTTCTGTTCCAGAGTTTGTGAAAAACACCACCTAGGTATAATAATAAACAAACACAAAATATATGTTCTTTTCTAATTAAAATGTGCTAATAAATTATAATATAGTTTTGATATAATATAATAAGAGAAAAAAATATTTGTCATTTTAAAAAATACAAAATTATGTTATTTTTAATGAAACTACGTTGTTTTAATGTGTTTACATTCTTTATTCTCTATTTTCTTTTTCTTTCTAATTTTATAATTAAAAATAACAAAACACATCAAATTAACATAATTTCATTAAAAATAACGCAAAATTATGTTATTTAAAATAATAAATATTTTTTTTATATATTTATGTTTCAGTAAAAGTCAGACAAGTTGATAGTGGAGAGTTTTATTTTCACTTTTCCAGCTAAACTTAACGATGGATAGCTAGTCGCATGTCATTGTCATGCAAAGTATTTATTATTTGGTCCGAAACCATGTGCTAGCCGCCAAAAATGTCATTCCAATCCCATAAACCATATATATATATATTAACGGTTTTATTAATCTCATGTTAAAAAAGATAAATTATTTCATGTCATAGAGATAAATTTGTGGGCTCTACCACTTGAAAAATAATAAAAAAAGAAAAAAAGTGACATAATTATCAAAGAATGTGTAAGAGAAAAATTTATCACATGTAATATAAAAGTAATTTTTCCCATATATTAACATGCTTATAAATGGAGGAAGAAATCAATATTCTACCAACAACAATCCTAAACTCTACCTACATCATTAACACATGCCAATCTCATTGGATAGTGACGAAGATTTACGTGGCTGAGGTGGCAGCTGCTCCCAAAATTTTGAACTCCATCAAATGGAGAAGGGAGCTAAGGACCCTCTAATATAGGAAGATGAACAATTATGTCGATTTTAAGCCCAAACAAAACTATATTTCTCTCTCAAAATAATTCAGCCAAAGTGTACAACTGCACATGTTAACCTTATAACCTAACTAAAATTTTCAAGCCAGATATAAGAAACTTTGTTCAAATAATACGTGGCTTTGATTCGATTTTTACTTTAAAAAAAAAAATTAGCAATAAAAATGTATTCAAAAACACATTTTTATTGGCCTGCTCAGACTCTAATTATTCACACTGAGTGATCCACACCATCTTTAACCTTAAAATAAAAATATAACCGTGTTTCATAAAAATAGTAACTTAAGTTCAGCAAATGATTTTTTTTTTAAATAAAAATAAAATCTCACTCATTCCTATTGATTTAAGTTGGGAATCCCATTATTATTGTAATTTTCTATTAGCGAATGAGAATAAAGGAACTAATTATTGTTTATATTGATGGTGACATTCTAGTTCACGTTTACATCAAAGTGGCAAAAAGCAAAACTAGTCTTTCTTTAAATAAAATAATAAATAACAACACGTTATAAATGTAAAGAAGGTTAAAACTTTCGATGCAATTGATGCAGGTATATCTATATGAAAAGAGAGAAAAAATTTGAGACTTAAAAGAAATTATAAAAAATATAAATTAATATAAAATAAAAATTCATTTTTTAATAAAAAAAAAATAGTACTGAACTCGATACGCCCGCAATACTAAAAAAAATTTCACGATGTTAATCCTCTTAAGTTCTGACACGGCATAAACTAGCCTCATATTCTCAGCTTCACACGCGCCGTATATAATATAAAGTTTTAGAGTAAAGTGTGTGTCATTTTAAATGATGTAAATTGCCATTTTAAGAGAGAGAAAGAGATAAATAAATAAAGAGAGAGAGTTGACACAAAAAATAAAGGGTCTCACCTCTTTGTGAGAGTAAAATGATATAATTTGTGTGATTCAAAAAGATAAACATTTTTCCCAAAATTTTAACACTTTTAAGTTTTTTCCAAGAAAATTTTGAATATTTGATAAATTCACTTGTCATCAATTAAGTTTATTATTCTTAACATTAAATTTTAACTGTTAATTTATATTAATTTGATGGTCATAATTTATTGGAAGATATTTATTAATTAATTATTAATTTTCAATAAATTATGATCATCAAATTTGTAAAAATTAGATATTAAAATTTAATGATAAAAAATAGGGATATATTTATCTCATTTTACATGAGAGAATCAATTTTTTTACACACACAAAAGAGGAGTGAGTCCCACCTTATGATGCACGGACACGACACGACACGACGACACGTTAATTTTAAAAAATGTCATATTTCGACACGTTGGGACAGGTTTTGATATTAAATAAAAATTTTAATATATATAATATAATTTATATTTAATACATATAAGAGTGCATAATAAGTTATATACCAATCAGATATTTAAATTTTATAACATAAATATAAATATAAATAATTTTTCGTACTTTGTTAATTTTTCATGTCAAATTTCATAATAGAAAAAAATTAATTTATAAATTATTTCTTTTATATTTAATTAACAAAATAAAATTAAGATTTAAAAAAAAAAGTGTTTGTGCCCGAAAACGTGTCCGAGCGTTGATCGCGTGTCAGAAAAAGTTGATTGTGTGTCAAAAAACGTGTCAGAGAGTTGACCGCGTGTCCCCAAATGTTGACCGCGTGTCAGACGAGTGTCCGAACGTGTCTGACCGTGTCCGTGCTTTCCAGGTTCCACCTCTCTTTTTTTCTCTCTTCTTACATGTGGGTCTCACTTGTGATTTTATTTTTAGGTAATTATTTTCCTACAACATAAAAAAAGTATTTCCCTAAAAATAATAAATTTAATTAAAGGTAAATATAATCTCCCCATTTATTAATATGTAAAATGATATTTTAAATAACATCAACCTTTTTAATGAATTCGATGTTTTATAAAACTTGACAATTAATACTTTAAAAATAGGGTAATATTTTTCTCAAGTTGCATAAGAGAAAAATATTTTCCTATACTCATATAGTCACATTGATAATTGAGCTATTATTTTATTTTTTTCTCTCTCTTGATAAGTCCCATAATTGTATATGAATATAAGAAAATATTTATCTCTTGTATAACTTGAAAAAAATATTACCTTTAAAAATAAATCATCACATGTATTATTAATGAAAATTGACAAATATGTATACGTACGTGACATATTATTCTAGAAGTTTCGTCATGATGGACACGAAGACAATCACAATCTCTGAGTGTAAAATTACTCATTTCAAATAATAAACCAAAAGACGATATCATTTTCTTTAATTCCAAGTAAATGAAAACATTTAATGAGATAGTGTCATATATATTTGTCAGAAAAGATAGAGAGGCAGAAAATAAGAACCAAAAACAAATTTCATTAATAAAGTTCGTGCGTCGCTTTTATATACATGACTTCAGAACTTTGTCAGTTTATGCGAAAATTATTCGTCCGATTTTATTTTAAAAAAAAAACTTAAAAACATTTATTTATATATATATATATATATATATATATATATATATAGAGGGAGAGAGAGAGGGAGGGCGAGCGAGATTTTGGTGATAAATAATTAACTATTGATAAGTTCATTTATGTTCATCTAATTACTGTAATTTATTTAAAAAATTTATGTTCATCTAACTACTGTAATTTATTTAAAATTAATAAATAATTAATTGATATAAAACGAAAATTAACGATCGAGAAAGAAAATAATATATAATATGTATATATTAAATACATTAGTATTTTTTATTTTATTTTTAATTGTAGGAGAAAGATCTACCTTAAGATTGCTGGGAAGTTTGGAAGCCAAAGCTTGAGCAAAATCGGCGATGGCGTTGTTGAGGTAAAGAACCGTTGAGTGCTGCAAGCGTTTTGTTTGGTTCACTATGGCCTCGACCACATCAGGGTGGCAGTGCCCGCAACACACCGTAGCAATCCCTCCAAACGCATCCACGTACCTCTTCCCATTTTCATCGAACAGGTACTGCTTCTTACCCTCCACCACGTTCACCTGCAACTCACCACAACCAATATTTTCTTTCTTATTTATTACTAGTATCACTATGCATTAAGGACACCAATAGATTATAATCGTTGATAAACAGAAATCAATGATTAGGATCTAAAAGAATATAAGTTTATATTTTTTAAAAGAATATGTATTTTTCTCATATATATATATATATAGGGATAGGATCAACTTACACCGGTGTAAGAATAATAAATCTTACACCAAATCTTAACCGTTGATTTCCGTGCATCTAACGGTTGAGATTTATTGGGAATTAAAAATTAATTAATGAGTGAGACCTAATAAATCTTAACCGTTAGATGCAAAAAATCAATGGTTAAGATTTGGTGTAAGACTTATTATTCTTACACCGGTGTAAGATGATCATGCCCCATATATATATATATATATATATATATATATATATATATATATATATTATTTTAAAAGTACAATGAAAGATAGTTATTTACTGAATAAGTGAATTTACATATTTTTAAGGAAACACATATATCCTTTAAAAAGATATAAGCTTATATTCTTTTATATCCTAATTGATTTTTGTCCATAAACGATTATAATTTATTGGGTCAAATTTAATGGGCCAAAATTATTATTAATTAATTAATAATTTTGATCCAATAAATTATAACTCTTAATAGACGAAAATCAACAATTAAAATCTTAAAGGATATAAACTTATAATCTTTAAAATGAAGGATATTATTCTATATATATATATATATATATATATATATATTAAACATGGTTGTTAGTTTATTTGAGGAATCATCGGGTGCGGCGCGGACTCACGGGGGTCTTGTAGAAGTGGAGGATGGAAGGGCTCAGATACTCTTTGCGCTTCGCCAGGATCTCGCCGGCGGTGGGTCCCGTGTACGGCGGAGGGGTGTAATCGAACGGCGGAAGTTCCGGAGCGGCGACGGCGTCGTTTTTTCTGTCCGCCGCCGCCTGAGAAAAGCTGCTTTGCCAGCGAAGCTGTGGCGATCCTCGCCGTAAGAGCCTCCTCGCTAGGGATGCTGTCATATTTCCCTCCTTCGAAGATGAATTTTCCGGCGATGTGCTCCGGCAATACACGACCCGACGCAGTTCTGCGAGAGTTAGAAGAGAAGGTGAGAACAGAAAATGACGAAGCACAAAGGTTGAATGGGGAAGGATTATATAGTGAAAAGAATCGTAAGGGGTGATGACGTGGAGAGAAAGGACTGACTGGAAATTTTGGAATGACCCTCGGGGATGGTGAAAATTACGGTTTTAGAGTCCTGAAATAGGTTTTTTCTTTCTATTGGGTGAATTGATGCATTTACCTTGTTTAATTTACCTTGCAAGTTTGGATTATTGCTAAACGAGATATAGCATGGACGAAAACTGTGACAAATTCGCAATTTCATCTCTATTAATGGTTAAATAATTTGGATTTACCAAAAAATGACATGCCAAAAATAAAGGGAGAGTTTTTTTGTAACATATATGCTTATATGAGATTATTCTTTCAATAAATTCATTTACTTGTCCACAATATAGAATACATAAAAGGACGAAGTTCAATTTGAATATTGATTATTCGATTATTCATTTCTACTTTTGAATCTTTATTTTCAATATTATATTATAACATTATGATATGGACATGGTAAAGGCCAAAATTCTAGAAGATAAAAAAATATTAACAGAGGAAAATTCATTAATTATACCAATCCTAGGGCGACATCTATGGATCATGAACTGAACCTCTAATATTTCTAAGAAGCCCAGAAATTTACTTATGGTAAGTAATCCATCTACAAATAAAGAGTTAAGGCAACTATGTACACTCATTCTAAACCCTCTCTCTTTTAGTTGTCACTGTGCACACACCCCACGTCTTGGTTATGTCGTATACTATAGTGCACAATGGTCAGTTGATCTCTAAGGTATCTCCCTCACATATACCTGAGAGAAGGCACACATATCCATCATAAACATACCACCCACCGGCTGGGCATCTCTGTCACCAAGACAGAACATTGACGCCGTCTGTAGGGACCGGTAAACTACGATCCCTCCCAATCATGGTAAACAAACAGCGTATAAAAGCTACCGGCAACTGCTACAGTCACGAGAAATTCGAACCTCTCTGCAAAAAAAGTGGATGAGGGGAAGAAATGTCCAACTTCACGAAGTATTGCAATTAAAACTCACGGTGCAATAAAAAATTCCACTAGATCCAATCTGTAGCAAAAGATTCGATTCTCGACGGGTAAAACAGTGGTGAGAATAGCTTGGAGGTTGAAAGGTAAAGCAAACCCAAACTCGGCCTCGGTTCGAGCAAGCGTGAGTCAAAAAGACCCGATTGCAAAAATCAACATCAAGTTCTATTTCTATGCAAAGCTCATTGTATGGATTCACGCAGAGCGTAACTTGATGCACTGTACAAGCAGACCCAAAAGGCATTGTGGTGCAAGGCAATCATCATTCCAAAAAAATCGACTTCCGCATAAGAAAATATGAGTCAGATAAGGAAAGAATTCCTTCTACCTTAATTTGATTTCATACTTTATTTTGATTTTATTTCCTTCCTTTCAATTTATATGATATGGCTCAAATAAGGAAAGTCAAGAGATCCACTCAGAGAAGGAATGAGATCTACTCAAACAAGGAAACAATTCCTTCTACCATAATTTGATTTTATACTTTTATTTTATTTTATTTCCTTCCTTTTAGTTCATATGATATGACTCAAATAAGGAAAGGTCAGGAGATCCACTCAGATAAGGACAAATGCTATTTGTGGGTTGGCATGTTCATGTGTTAGCATAATGGCCGCACAACTAGTTTTTCTTGCCAGAATCTGAAAGGTTATCATAATGATAAGGTAAAAATACCCAAGTTCCACCGAATCCTCTTTTCAAAGCAGATCAACCGAATATGACAACCCATGACTTGAGTCCCTTTTTTAAATCAAATCCATCAGGTTGTATTGTGTAACACCCCGTGTATACCCGATTTGTTATCATGTCATCGTATTAAGCAACGCTTAATAAAAAATGCGGAATTAACTTTTTCTTTTTAATTATAACGTCATTAATATTACCAAGTTGATTACTTAATCCTTTTACAAAATATTGCCTGTATGTAAATTGTAATAAAGTTAAATACATTGAATAACCTCAATATATAAATAACTGAAAGTATCTAAGTCACGGAACTACAACACGTAGTCCGGACCATAATCCTGATACATTAATACAACACGAATCTAAATGAAGACATAGTCAATCAATGTGGCATGGACAACCCCCATGCTCACCAAATAAGGCAACAAGCCCAACAGAGTCTCAAGTAAACAACATGATAAAAATAAATAGCATGTCAGTTTCCAACATATCATCATAAAAACAGATATCTCACTCAGCTCCGGCCTCCTGCCGCCCGAGGTCTCAACCCCCGAGTTACCTGAACCTAAAATATGTGCCCCAAACGTGGGGTAAGATCTCTAAACAGAAATCTCAGTAAGACAAGGGGTCCTTAAAGATTTCTCCACCCCAAGCTCACTTACATGTGCAATATAAGTTCAAAAGCAGTAATATAATATAAGTTCCAAAATCAGTGCAATGTAGCAGAATAATCATGTCATGTGTGTCAACTATTATACTGGCCAGAGAAATTCAGGATTTACATACGTCTATTACCTACATTAGTGCAAGACACCACTTGCACCCACCCACAGAATTACCCTATGGCATGTCTCCTACATACACAGGCTTACCGTCTAGGTGGAACAACATATGCATATTATAAGGCACTTGCACATAACAGCTCAACAGCATTTCAAAAGCAATACATGAAAACACATCATGCATATAAACCATCTCCCATGGGGTATGTGGAACCAACAATGGCTAAACCGAGAACACAAAAGCTTACCTCGCAAGCTCACTATCCAACCAAGAGTCCAACCAAGCTCAAAGTCCACAAACAACATAATCATAATTTGTTTTAGACCAGCAATCATATCAACAATCATATTCCACAAGCATATGATATAAAGACAACGCTTTCCTTTTACGTTTCATGTCTTTAGGCTCCTCACAAAGCCATAAGCCCTTAATCACTTTGATTCTGACTTAGATAATTATTACAGGGTTTAACTTAACCAATCTAGGGTCCACCAACCCCAAATACAGTTCTGTATGAACAGAATCGTCATTGTCTCGAAATTCCCAGAATATCTGAATATTTGTCGGGGGCATATCCGGATATTCATATCCGAATATCTCCAACCCCATATCCGGATATCAATATCCGAATATTTACAATCTCATATCCGGATATTTAGCGACAGAATGCATTTTCTGCATTTCACGAGATATCACTCCTAAGGTTCCATTTTTAACACATTAATACGTCCAAGCATGCATCTTTAAGCCCCTTTAGCCCAGTTATCATGTTGGTTACTTATTCATCTTATTAAACATGCCAAGACTCCACTTTTATTAAGGAAAAATCATGATCAAAGGTTCAAGAACATACCCCAAGCTCCAAAACAGAAAATAGGGGTGCTCTTGGAGCTCTCAAGTCAGCTCCACAGGTCTGACTCCACAAAGACACAAAAATGGTGATCAAGAATGGTTCTTCCTCTTCAAAGGTCACTCCTTGGAGCTTCCACAAGCAAGACAAGGGCTCTCACTTCACCAACAAGGAAGTCATCCCACAACACCTCAAACTTAGAAACTCACACTCAACTAGGGAGCACTCAACACCCTCACAAGATCAACTCTCACTCAACAATGGTGTTTAGGTGAAGGTTTCATGAAGAAAAGTGACTCCTTAGCTCACAAAATGAAGATAGGAGAAGGTGACAAAGGGAGGCAGCAGCTGAAGCTCAGAAAAGTTTCACGTAGGAGGCACCAAATGACCTAGGATCATGTGCCCTCATCTATATATAGCTACTTAAGTTTTAATCGCACTGTATTAGCGCTAATAGCTACGCTTAGCATATTAATCTCAAACTCTGAATTCTAAACCTAGCCATTTTTCTAAGATTTTTCATATTTTTATTTTATTTTTCGCAGTACTTTTTCGGTACGCGCTTTTACTTAGTCAGTATCAATTCTGACACCAGTTCTCAGTATTTTGACCTGAAACTTGTTATGCTAGTCCTATATATAATTCTAGTGACATATACATACTTTTCATAATTTTTCGGGATACTTCATCGGTACGCATTTATACAGTGAGGCAGAACCGGTATCTGCACTTTTCGTCAGAAAAGCGATTTTCAACATTATTAACCACTTACCATAATTATCTAAGCTTTCTCATAATTGTTAAGGTTAATTATGAAATTATCTTATTAATCTCATAATTAATTTCCTATATTGACGGTGCGGGTTCTTACATATTGCCACCACTAATCTCATGTCGACCGGATTCCAAAAACTTATTCATATGCGGGCCAACATAAGCGAAGTAAAAATCTATACTCTAAGCATAACAACAGGGACCCGAGATAGAAGACAACAATGTCCACATAAGCAATATAGTTTTAAACTCGACATCCACACTAGGATCAGTCAACCAGGCACAGACTCGCTCAAAACTATCCAGCCACTGCCAGCACCAGACAACCCTATAACCCACAGTGTTATACACGTCATCCTGCGCCGAATAGGTCCCTCCTCCAGAGTCGAATGGACGCACAAAGGATAGGCAAGTCAGAAGCCTGGCCCCTCCAGAATATCAACCCGAAACAAGGTTGAGACCAGGCCGAGGTGAAGAATGGGTGCAGAGACATATACATTGAGATCACGAGAATGAAGAAAATAAAGACGACGGATAAGACCAAGATCAAAGTGACAATGGTGGAGAAGCTCAATAACTTAAATATAACCTAAGCATACATATAAGCTTGTCTAACAAATCATAAAGAGCATCATCAAGATTTTGAGGCTACAGACAGAATATACAAGTTCCTCCAAATAATGACACGATGGACCATACACATAATGACACCAAATTCTGACTTCATACCTGTCAAGTCTGAGCACTGTATTTGTAAGGTACGAAGAGTATGAGAGCCCCCTCAAAATGGTGGAGGCATATGGTCTTCTCCTTTACATGAGCTTATGCCACATACAAGGCTTGGAAGCATCTTAACCGACATGATCAATAACATGAAGGAAAGCCTTTGATTATTTTTCATGCTATAATTCCTTTTAAATTAAATATCTATATGGAGAAGCTATTGTGGAGGACATTGGCCCTGCTAGCACTCC